CCCTCTGCAACTCAACTCTGCCACTAGCTGGTGATGTGATTTCCAGAAAGATCTTTGTGTCTTGGTTGCCTTTACTGTAAAATGAATGAGCCATCTCTCAGATCTCATTCAGATGCAATACGTTATGACTTAGAGCGTACATTTAGTTTTAAAATCTGAGATTTAAAGTTATCATGCCATAATTTGCAGAGTCTGTGTAAAGGGCCTTTTAACAGATTGAGAGGTGGTGGGTGGGGATAAGATACAGCTCAATCACTGAACATCAAGCAAGGAACTAGGCTAAGAATACTGAGGGAAAAGTCAAGACTCATTTCCTCAAAGAGGGAATCTCTTCCCTAAACCACCAAACAGGTATCTCGTTTACTATTTTCATCTACTTGGGGGACAGGCTGTTTTGCCACTCGTTTCACAGTATCTCTGGAGCCCATCATGGCTGTTCCTATTTTTACTAATTAAACTCTTCTTTGACCAACATACACACAATTATAAAGAAAGAAATTTAAAAGACCACAGGTGCTTGACTGGGTTAGGGGGTATAACCAGGTTCCAGCGCAATTCTGATCTACCCTGTGTATTCAGCCCTCATCCCTCACACGGATCTGCAGGTATTCCTTCCCTCTGACCTTCGGACACATGCTTAAAATTCTCTTCAATAAAAAATTTGCATCACTAGAGCTTATGAAATAATCTGATTCAAATATGTAAGTTCTTCAGCGAATTCCAACCAATTCAGATCTCATACAAATGCATCTTGTGTAATACTAAGATACATTTTTCAAGATGGTTTAGTTCATTAGCTCATCTAAGAAGTGTAGATAGCTGCATTTGTTTGAAAATACATTTTTTAAAACCTCTTTTCACACAACTAGGTTGTAAGTCCCATATACATAAGCAGCTCCTTTATATGAATCCTAGTTAAGAGGAAAACAGAATACTCTTCTCGGAGAAACTATCAACAGCTCACAGAAAATGAAGCTGAACGTAATTAACTACCCATTAATGTATATATGTATTTTTTTGCTTTTGTATATTAGCAGTCAGCACCTACTCCAGTACTTACACTGTTGAATACTTATCTACTTGCTAAGGAGAGAAAAACCTTCGCAAACACCCCACGTCCTCCCTGCTCTGGGGAAGGGCCCCTGGGTGGAGCAATTCCACAGTGACCTATGTTCAGTAGGGAATGTGTCACAGCACAGTGGCACAGGCAAGCAACCTAAGGATGTTGAAGCTTCTTGGGTCGGGTCTCCAAATCATGGCTTTTATTATTTTGTAAATCTTATTTTCCACCCCAGAACTACCCATACAAATAAACTAGAAAGTTAAGTGTCAAAATAAAAGTGTTTTGCTTTAACCTGTCAAGGCAGATTATTCTCACATCTGATCTTTACCAAAAGGGTAAACTGTCAATAGTTAACATAAATTATAGGCTATATGACCCCACAGGTGCAGGGTCACCTTACACGACAAATCTAAGGCTGCCAGTCTGCACATACTCCCAATCCCCACTTAGGTTGGTGAGGATTCCAGCCTGAGAAGAAAGGAGTCCCCTCTGACAATCTGACAGTCTTTAGCCCCAGCCCCTATTACTCAGGAGCCCCCTTAATTCCAGAAAACGAAAAAAAAAAAAATCTTCCTCCAAATTGGATTAAGACTCTAAATCCTAAAGGACAGCACAGGCTCATTGTGCAAGTGGGAGAGGTTGCAGGGCAGGGGAGAAGGGAAGCTAAAAACGATTTCTGATTTAAAAAAAAAAAAAAAAGTAAATGGACTATTTTTCTAAAACTTCCATGCTGCTATTTTAACTTTTGTGCTTCATTATTGTAACACTGATTTTTAAAGCAAAGGACAACCTGAGTACAATTTTAAGATCAAACTCATGAAAATAAATATACACTATGTATGTATCTTAAATCTTAGCGAAATCCCAGAGTTAATTTACAAAGTTTTAACAGGGGTTAAGGAAGGAAGATCTTAATTCTATTTTGAAGTTTTACATCAAAGATTTACCATCCATCAAATTAATAGTGGAAAGCATTTAACATTTTTTGTGAAGCATTCTGTACAATGACCTATTTGAAATTAACAGAGTATCTCCCCTAAGACACAAAGTTGCTAAAAATCTACTGCAGTACTAGTAACATAATTGTGCTGTAGATATAAAAAATAGTATTGACTGACTTTGAACCAAGTACAAAATAACAGGTTGACTCAAATTACAATCCAAGCTTCCAACATGTTAGATTTGAGTGCACTTTCTAAATTTTAACTATAAGTGTTAGTACATTCAGGTGTGATAGACAACCTAAGTATAAAGAGAATTAGAAAATACAGGAACAGATCAGGCATGGTGGCTCACACCTGTAATCCCAGGACTTTGAGAGGCCAGGTGGGTCCATAACTTGAGGTCAAGTTCGTGACCAGCCTGGCCAACTCGGTGAAATCCAGACTCTACTAAAAATACAAAAATTAGTTGGGTGTCATGGCACACGCCTGTAATCCCAGCTATTTGGGAGGCTGAGGCAGAAGAATCGCTTGAACCCAGGAGGCAGAGGTTGGAGTGAGCCGAGATGCCGAGATCGTGCCACTGCACTCCAGCCTGGGCAACAGAACAAGGCTCTGTCTCAAAAAAAGAAAAAAGAAAAGAAAAGAAAAGAAAAAGAAAATACAGGAATGGTAAAGAATAAAACTAAGGCAAAGATTTTGTTTATAACAAAAAGTCCACAGTGGTGCCTGAAACTGAATCCAAATATGTAAAGTCCGGTGCCCTATTTACAATGGGCAACCACTCTTGCCTCTCTAAAGCCAAATATTTACAGCACAGTTTTTAGAACAGCATCATAATTTCTTTTTTTTTCCTTTCGGTTTCCAAAGGAATACATCTGCCTGAACTAATCTGATGGAAAATCATAATCCATTTCTTCCCATTAGCCTTTGACTAAACGCTGAAGCTAATTATGCTGGCTCTTTTGGGTTCTCACAGCAACAAGGAATTTTAAAGAACACATTTAGTTCCACTAGTTTATGCAAGACTGAGCGGTTTCAAAACATCTAGGTGCTAAGATGTTAGACAGAGGCTACATAAATCTCGTTTACATGGTTAATTAAGACCTTGTGATTTAGGGACACAGACAACATGGATCTACCAGGGATGGATATGTACACTGTTAATATGCTGTCCTGAGTCTGAGACTGCTACTGTCTCACTGGTTCTGCTCTGAATGCACTTGTAATCACTGTTGGTCAGTACCAACAGTTTAACATCTATGTATCTTTAGTATTAAAATCTTTTCCTTGGACAACTGTGATTCTGTACTAGCTAACTGGCAGCTTGTATGGCTTTGGACGCATGACATGTATGAATTACACTGTTCAAATTTAACAGAAACACATGCAGATACAGATCATTTGGGGTTAATTTCCTATGGTTTTGGTTGGATATTATTAAAGAGTCTGGGAGGATTTGGTAAGAGGTAGAGCTTTGTTCCCACCTTCCTGATTTGGTAGTACAGGCAGGATTTCATGGAGAAAGGAAACTGCTAAGAGAGTTGTTTTGGAGAGTAGAATCCATTCCCCCAAGTATGGGAGGGTTCTGTCCCTGAGGAGGGGTCTCAAAAAAGCAGATATGACGATGGACTGTGGAAATAAGCTCTCTGCACAGGAGGGATGAAGGCATTCTTACCAAACTGAAAGGGATCCAAGTCCACTCTAACTTGCTCAATTACAGCTTAACCAAACTCAGCTGGTCTTATATTACAAAGTCACAAATCCTAGCGTAAGTGGCTGCCTTCATTCTGCAGCCACTTACGCTAAATACCTCTCAACCACCTTAAAAAAATCTGTTTACTCTATGAAAATGGGATCAGGGACTTCCTCTCCTGATTACCTACCCAATATGAAAACACAATATTTACTTTCACAGAGATTATATTATTTTTTAAATGGCAAAAATATTACCTCCATTCATATTTTAGAAAATCGAACCAAGATTTGGAATGACATGCTTTTAATGTGGTTCCTACAGCTTTTCTATGTAAAACCCAGGCTGGCACCGTTTCACACAGGGAAGTAGCTCAGGGAGGAGGCATGTCGACAGACAACGTGGTGACAGGTGACTGGTGGAAGTTCGGACCTCGGGCTTCAAGTCCTGACTCATCACTAACGGGTTCTGGAGCTCTGGGCCCTTCGATTTTCATCTTGAAAACGACAGCCTGAGAGGACTTTTTACGGCCCCCTTCAGCTTTAAGCTGATCCTGACCTAATCACATGTTACAAGTTCTAACTGAAAATTACGAGAAGGAAATTAGGAAAGACGTATCAAAGTCCATGTTTATCCTGGATTAAGTTTGTCACCATTGTGCTGCTGTGGAGGCAAACCTGTTGCATCACATGGGATACCTTATTTCTGGCTGTGCATTAGAAATACAAGAGGCAGAAGACTTTTTATATTTTCATTTTTTAAAAAAGTGAACAATAGTATCCCTCGACGATGGGAAGTTCTCAAGTTTCACCTTTATAGTCTGGAAGTACACACAGAATTCCACCTGGCAGACAAGGGCCACATGGCTGAACCCGGGGTATGCCGGCTCCCTTTACCACGCGTGAAGCCTCACTTTAAAGCCACGTCCCCAGTCCTTACCAGGGGGCTGATCAGTGCCGTCGCTGTTACTGGTGGGATGATTAACCGTGTAGCGGCCAGAGAAAGAGGTTTGTATATTACCTGCCCATGAATTTATACCTACTTCATGTGGCTTGTGCTCACCAGAGCAAGAGCACGCAAGTTAAAAGCAACGAGATTTGACCTTAGATCTTACTGGACACATCTACTACCATATTGAAAACAGGAAACGAAACAGCTTTTGACACAGCACCTGGTGGAGGGGGCACACCTCCATCTCCCCATACACTGCATTGTTGCAGTCTTCAGAGTTTCAAAGGCTTGCCGTTTTTCCCTGAAAAACGCGGCCCGTCGGGAGGCATTTCTGGCGCGGCCCACTCACCTCTTTGATCTTTGCCCTTTTCTCGCGGATGGCGGCGTCGGCGGGCTCCCGGCTCTCCACGCCGATGGGAGGCACGAAGTCCACCGGGGGCAGGCCTCTGAACGGCGCCTTGTCACGCAGCTGGTCCTGGGCCACCTTCTTCTTCTCCAGTAGGATGTCTCTTTGGATCTCCTCGGGCAGCTTCTGCAGGGTCTCCTTGGCTTCCCTGAGAGCCCGCTCGTGGTTTTCGCGGATCCTGGCCAAGTTGTCCTCCAGGGCGGCCTCCGGGTCCCCGGGTGCCCCCTCCTCGCGGCGC